TTGGCTTTGTCTGCTCAAGCTGCTCTTTGAAATTTTCTGTTCAGCTCTTTTATCTTGTCATTTCTTACTTTTGCTTTAGCTCTTCTCTGTTCAAGGGCAAGTTTCAGTCTCTTCTGTCATCCATTTTGGTCTTCTCTTCTTTTCTTGTCTTTTTAGTGACCTCTTGCTTTCTTCATGGATGATGTTCTTGATGTCATGCCACAATTTTTCTGGTTTTTGGTCATTGATGTTCAATGCATCAAATCTATTCTTTAGATGGTCTCTAAATTCAGGAAGGATATATTAAAGATCATATTTTGGCTCTTGTAGACTTGTTTTAACTGTCTTTAACTTGAAGCTGAACTTGCATGTGAGCAGTTGATGGTCTGTTCCATAATCAGCTCCTGGCCTGGCTTTGGCTGAAGATATTGAGCTTTTCCACTGCCTCTTGCGACAGATGTAGTCATTCTGATTCCTGTGTATTCCATCTGGCAAATTCCACGTGTATAGCCGCCATTTGTGTTGTTGAAAATAGGTCTTTGCAATGAATAAGTCATTGGTCTTGCAAAATTCTATCATGAAATTTCAAGCATCATTTGTGTCCCCAAGGCCAAATTTTCCAACTACTGGTGGAAATAAAAAAGTTTGTTTCCAAGTTTTGCATTCCAATCACTAATGATAATTAACACATCTTGATTGACTGGTCAGCAGAAACTGATAAGGATCTTCAATTTCCTCCTCTTTGCCTTTGGTAGTTGGTGCATAAATTTGAATAATAATTGTATTAACTGGTCTTCCTTATAGGCATATGGATATTATCCTATCACTGACAGCATTGTACTTCAGGACAGATCTTGAAACATCCTTTGTGATGATGAACACCATGCCATTCCTCTTCAAATTGTCATTGCTGGCTTAGTAGACCACATGGTGGTCTGATTAAAAATGGCCAAAAGCAGCCCATTTCAGCTCACTAACACCTAGGAAACAGATTGAAACAGACTACCCCATCTTTTTCCACTGAGTAGCTGGTGGGTTTGAATGGCAGACCTATTTTAGCAGGCAGGTGCTTAACTACTGCATCACCATGGCACCCTTATACTTGCAGCCCCTATAAATTCTCTCAAAAAAAAAAAAAAAAAAATGCGTCGGATCTAACTCATAGCACCAAACCCTCTTTGGGTTTCCAAGGCAGTATTACTATGGAAGTAGATTGCCCGATCTTCCTTCCAAGGAGTGGCTGGTGGGTTTGAACTGCCAACCTTCTGGTTATCAGTCAAATGCCTCAGGCACTATGCTACGAGAGCTCCTAAATTCTCTCTCAGTATAGGTCTATTCTCTGTCCATTCTTTACATAAATGTATCCTATTAGAATGTAGTTTTCATGAAATCAGGGATTTTGTCTATCTTGGAGAAGCAACATAGGCTACATTGTCTCTGGAGCCAAATTACCTGTCTTTGAATTCTACCTCTTGCACTTATTGTCTCATTGACTTTGGGCAAGTTTCTTAACTTCTTATTGGTGGTTGTGAGGTTTGATTGTGTTGATATATGTATGGAAGTAGATTGCCCAGTCTTCCTTATGAGGAGTGGCTGGTGAGTTTGAACTGCCAGCTTTCTAGTTAGCAGTCAAATGGCTTAGGCACTATGCCACCTGCAGTGTAGTAAATTACATAATGTGGCTTTTTTAGCCATAAGTCTTTGTAAACTTCGTGATGGAATTTGCTATGAGCATCTGAGTAGCTCCTGATTGTTAAAGTTATCCACTTGGGGTATTTCTGTTGAACCAGCAAGAAGCAATCTTCTGGGAAGTTCTTTCTTTCTCAGATATTTAGAATTCTGATGTTGGGATTGGTTAGTTTGACCACTCTGCCAGGCGCAAAAGAGGGCCTTCTAGAGGCAGAAGGAGTCTCTCTGACTTCTGGCTGAGAAAGATGTGCTGCTGAGAGAAATGCAATCCTGAGAGACACACACATGCTGAAAGAGGGACATGAGAGACACAACTGGTGGAAGAAGTGGGAGACACACACTGCTGGGAGAGAATCTTAGAGAGGCTGTTGGCTGAGAGATGGTGGACTGAGAGAGACTGAGCATGTTTCTGAACTTGAATTGTAGCCTGTTTTTTCCCTAATAAACTCCACAATCTGTGAGTTCTGTGTGGCCACTGCAACAAATTGCTGAACCCAGCAGAGAGGTGGTGGGTGCTACGGGAGGAATGGTTAGTGTCAGGGTTTGTGAAAGGGCTGGAGGGAGGTGGCATGTCTGGCCTTGCAGAAATAGGCCTTGGTCTACTGATGGTCTTCCTCTTGTGGGATTAGAGGAGGTCAGAAGATGTGGCCTCTCTGTCTTTTTGGCACCACCAGAGCTCCTAGAGTGTAATATGGACATTGATATAAAAATAAATGATTATGATTATATCACTTTTGTTATGTACCACTATACCCCTAGTACATAAGACAGTGTCTGGCACATAGTAGGTACCCAGTGAAGACTTGATCAGTTAATGAACAAACACTACACACTGGAAATACAAAATATCATTTGGAAATACATTTGGAAATACAAAAGATCATTTGTCTAGGAATAAGACATGAGAACCAATAGAGGACCATACAACACAAAGATCTTGTAGTCAGCATTTGTGCAAAATAGCCAGGGTCAATTGCTTCCAGTTACAGGGTACCTAACTTGTGGTATGCATCCCGGGATCAACAGGCACATGGAATTTATATGACATAAAGCAAATATTATAGCAGTGCTACTAAGTCTTATACAACTAAAGTGCTAATTAGATTGCACAAAGAATACATACTATATGAGTCCAATCCAATACTCATGGTGCATTTATTTTAATTCTACATCATTTCAGCAGAAACTAACTAAAGAATCACTCGATAACAAAAGAGTAGACAAATAAAGATAGCCTTCATATTCAAAATACTTCCTGAATATTTATTGTCATTTCTTCAAAGACTATGTCTCTCTGCAGGTATTACCTTAAAATTTTTTCAGAAAAGTATTTCAGAGAGCCATTGTAATGCCAACACCATGAAGTAAGAACTGCATTTTTATCATAGGCTTTTCTTTGCAATAAAAATAGAGGAGTTATTAAAACCAATGCCACTATTGCAATTTCTCCAAATAAGTTATATACCTCTAAAAAGTTGAATTGGCAGAAGTTGTATGATAGATGTATTGACAACAGGGACAGAAAAAGAAAAAAAAAATGTTGCTGCCTGAGGCTGCTTGTGTACAACCAAACACCACATGGGATTTGGTTCCTTGGTGTGGAGGTTTAGGGTCATAGTTTCATGAGATATCTCAGTTATTTGGCCTAATGTGTTTGGTATTTCTGTTTTACTTCCAAATTACTTGTGTAGTGTCTGGGGTCATAAAAGCTTGTAAGCAGCCATGAAAGGCAAAATAATTACTCTTTATTGGCATGGAACAACAGGAAGGAGGAGAGTCAGGAATAGGAGGAGGATATAGAAAGTGTGGCTAATTTCCTCTATGAACCACTTACTCCCTTGCCATGAGACCAGAAGAAATTGATGGTGCCCAGCTACCAGTGCTGAATATTTTGATCAAAGAGTCCATATAAGAATCCTGATCAAAAGGGGGAAAAAATAAAACAGAACTTAAAATTCTCATGGACTCTGGACTTTCTAGAGCCATGGAAGATGGATGAACACCTGAAACTATACCCTGATATCATCTTTAAACTTTAAACCAAAAATATCCCCTAAAGTCTTCTTAAGAACAAACATGCTCTTTTAATTGACAACAGCAGGTGGAATAATTAGATTGGAACCTTAGGAGACAGTGAATGTATATTAATAGAGGATGGAACAACTCAGAAAAGGAGAGTAAAGATGGTTACACAACTCGAAGAAAGTAACTATTGTCACTAAATGGTACATGTAGAAACTGTTAAATTTGGTGTATGTTTTGCTGTGTATATTCTTAACAACAACAACAAAATAAATTACTTGAAAACAGTGGCAAATAGTATTCTTGACCCTGCTCACCTGAGAAGCCTTATGTTCCAACATTAGTACTCCTTCCTTGGCAAATAGACTCTCTTAATGTGAGGAAAAAGATTTCCCATTGTGATGGGAAAGATTTTTAAAATGAGTAAAGTCAAAATTTGATGAAGGTCTAGGGAAATGAGGGCTCCTATGTAGTTCTGGTTTGAAGATAAACCAGGTGTTTCCAGAGTGCACTTTGGGAATAAGTATCAAAAACCTTAATGATAATCTTGTAGTCCGGCCCAGCAACTCCACTTTTATGAATCTATCCAGAAGAAATGACCAAAGCACCCAGGACATTGCATTAGTAAGGGATAAGTAAAAAAAAAAAAAATTGTTACAGCCATGAACACATTGCTCTGCAGAAAATAAAAGTCATGTTGTTGAAGTGATGATGTGGACAAAGGGTCACTGCTGTTTTAAAAAGCATGTTCTAAAACAGTGTGTATGATATAATCACAGTCTTGCAAAGAAAAAGTTATACATGTATGGAGCAGAAATATACATATATGTACATATCCAAGTAGGGAGATTGTGGATGATTTTTATTCCATTTCTTTTCTAGTTTTCTTCAATGGATATATTTTACTCTTACAATCACAAAAAATTATGACAAAACGTAACCCCTCATGTCTTTTTCCCATAACTACGTTATAATGCATGGCCTTCTCATAAGTAAAAAGGCAAAAAACAACCTTGTTGTGTAGCATCAGTGACTGTACCTTATCTGCTTTCGCTGATGCTGTTAATCCATCTGTTCTATCAGTTATTGCGTAAAAACTGGACTTTAATCATTGTAATTTAATCTTTAAAGTCATAATTTCAGAAGAGTTATTGCCTGAATATTTCTCTTTATTTACATGGAATTAACAATAATATTAACTTTTTGTCCTTCCAGGTAAACAATTATAGTTTAGAAGAAGTAACACACGAAGAGGCGGTAGCAATTTTGAAGAACACATCAGATGTAGTTTATTTAAAAGTTGGCAAACCCACCACAATTTATATGACTGATCCTTATGGTCCACCTGATATTACTCACTGTAAGTACCACACTCAGTGGCATCTTCTAATAGCATGCCTGGTTTGCAAAATTGTAATTCCACAGAAGTATTGACTTGCTTAGCCTCAAGACAAAGTCTTCACCCTTTTTTAGCCTCAGGAAATACTTCACAGGGCATATCCTGTACTTTAATCTCTGATTGCCTTATCTGACCCTTACCTGTATTTTAGGGATGGGACAACCTGATAAGTTGAAGCGTCCACCAATATGCAAAGGTTTGTGGTATATGTTGGGGGCAGTGTGATTATAATAGTTTTGAGGTAACACATTTTTTAAAGCTATTAAATCCCTAAAGTATGATAGTTCTTGTGCCATAAAATTTTCTCCTCCTAGTTCAGATCTGTATAATAGCAGACTAGAAAAGATCGGCAGATAAATTAGACCAGAGATAGCTCTATGCTTCTTTGTGAGGAAGAGGATCTTGTGCTTCATTGATGAATTCATTATCTTCAATCCCACCATAGCCCTTACCTTTACCTAAATTTGTTATTTTGGTAGAGAAGCCGGAGGAACTCCTCATTCACTATGGTAGTAGGGGTGAGTTGGAGGTTTAACTATAACACACTATGTTGGGGTATACATGAATTTCATTGCTGCTTAAGCCCATGTTTTCTCTCTTTAATAGGTTAACAAAAATTTTATCTAAGTTTCTGTCTTTGGGGACTAGATTTAGAAGCAATTCATTTTCCTGATCTGATTTAAGGGACAGTTTTGTCAACATCAGTAAGCTTGTTCATTCTGAAATTTTGAGACTCCAGTTTTGAAACTCAAAATATAGATCAGAACCTGTCATTAATTAGCACTGTGGTTTTAAGCAAGTTGTTTAACCTCTCTCAGATTCAGATGTTCCTCTTGAGAGAAATTTAAGGGTTGAATATTTTTTTTACCTGTCCATTAAGTTAGCTATTACTTTTTAAATGATGATAGTAAAACTATTTGCCCTGAAATATATCTCTTTGAAAAAGAGTCTGCAAGCTGATTAGCCTTACCTTAGGATGTAAAAGAGTTTTAATGTCCATACTTCTTCAAACCTGATAAATTTATGAAGATCAGTTTTGAGACTCTGTGAGTCATTTCATGAAGGGCATAAAAGGTCAATGTCAAAGAAAGGAAAGAGAGAACAAAACCATTCTAATTATTCAACAAATACATACTGAGTAAGTTCAGTAGGTGCCTAACACCTTGTAAGGTAATATGTAGAATGCAAAGAAGATAAAATAATGGCCTTCAAGGATATATTTTAAAGCTATTTCCAATAAATAACAGTAATATATGGCAGAAGAAGACAGAGGTTTATGGTATGTGAGATTAAAATAAATGTCCTCTGGGAACTCAAGAGGAAGAGATAACATTAGTATTTCGATGATCAGAAATATCTTTATGCAAACAACATTTAAAGAGTACCTTGAAGAATGGTGAGATTTTAGCACTAGAGAAAGCATAGGAAACATGAATTCTAGGCAGTTGATATACTGAAACAAAGAAACAGAGATAGAAAAGCAAAGGTTTCATTTGGGAACCATAGCACAAGTCATGGAGATATCAGATTGATTTCTTAAAAGAATATTTATACGGTATTCAATACAGTAGTGGCAATGTAGAGTAATCAAGAGGGCTATATGACCAGAATGGGGTTTCAGGACAGTTTAATTCATCTCAATGTATAAAATAGATTTTGCAGGGGGGCAGGACTAGTAGGAGATAATGGTTTGAAAGTATTTTCAGTAGCTTAAAAGGAGATGATGAGAGTCTGAGTTAGGTTGAAGTAATGGAAAAGGAAGACCAGAGTTCTTGGTCTGGAGACATCTCTCTGAGAATGTAGCATATTTTGAGAGAAAGTCTTACAGAGCAATTTGCTTCTAGGAGCTTCTGATAATTGGATATTAATAATGTGAAAAGAATGTGAGCTCTGCAATTAGAAAGTTAACATTTTTATTTCTGTAGAAAATTGAACATCATTCTGAAACTGTGTGCTGAATATCTCTTCCAGTTCTTCACTTTGCTTTATTATACTAGTGAGGTTACAGATACAACTGTTGTGAAGTCTTTTCTATCCTAAAAGTCACCACGTGCTTATATGTATTAAATATAAACAAACAACAATTCCCCTCACTTGGAGGACAACAAATCCCTGGCATGTAGCAAAACCTATTTTTAACACACTCTCTGAACTGTAGCATAACAACACATCATTGAGTCATCCATATAAAAGATTTCTTCTTCTTCTTCTTCTTCTTTTTTTAACCCCTTAGCTTATTCTCCACCGATGGAAAACCATCTACTCTCTGGCAACAATGGCACTTTAGAATACAAAACCTCCCTGCCACCCATCTCTCCAGGAAGGTATTCGCCAATTCCAAAGCACATGCTTGTCGAAGATGACTACACCAGGTCAGATATGCTTGTTGATGAATTGGGTTTTGCTGTCATTAAAAAGAAGTAATCACATTTGCCTAATACATTGCTTTGAGGACCAACAAAACTTCTGAAATTCATTCAAAATTATTGTAGTCCTGCTCAGGTGGAAATCTGCAAATACTTGTAAAAGTGTGTCATAGTCCTCCATTTAGGAAGCAAAATCACATAGTCTTGGTGGAACAATAGTAATATTGTATACACCTATCCATTACTTTGCAATTTATTAAGACTTTCCATATATGACCCATTTGAGCTTTAAAGTTGTGCTGTAAGGGAGTACAACTCTCTATTATTACTGGAGAAAAAAAATTAGTGCTGAATTTTAAAAAGAAAGAAGTAGCATAGCAAATATCAAATACCTGGTTGTGAAAGAGCCAGGACTCAAAACCTTGGTCTTTTGACTCTAATTTCATATTCTAGCTAATGGTCAGCCACAAATCAATGGAATTTGCAGTTCAATAAACCCTCCTCCCTGGTATAATAACTGTAGACAGTGGAAAGAAAAGAAGAAAAGAAAATACTAAATGGTTTGAATTTAATATATCCTGCTAATGCCAAAGGAGCTCTGGTGGCATAGTGCCTAAGGCATTTAACTGCTAAGCAGAAGGCTAGCAGTTCCAATCCACCAGCCACTCATTGGAAGGAAGATTGGGCAATCTACTTATGTAGTGATACCACCTCGGAAACCCAAGGAGAGGTTGCTATGAGTCAGATCCAACTCGACAGCAATGAGTTTGGTGGGTTTTTTTTTTTTTTTTTTTGGTAATGCCAAAGGGGACTAGCAAGGTTCTAGGCCAGAGCACAGAAACACAAAGCTAATCCCACAATGGATGCCAAAGTTAAAAAGCGTACCTCTGAAAAAGTCAGGTCTGATAGGTCACAGAGAAGACCAGTTAACTTACTTAAATCATTACCTTTGAATATTCTATAAATATTAGATGATTAATAATAAAAGAATTAATAAGTTTTTTTTTTTCAATTTTAAATATTTTTGTCATACATTAATATAGGCTTATTGTAGCTGGTTTAAAAAAAAAAAAAAAAGATGTTCAAGAAACAAAAATCTTCCCCAGACTCCCTCAGCCCATCATGACCTCAACATGATAGCTTGGCATGAATCTTTCATACCTTCTCCATCCTCGTACAAACACGTTCAAACCCATACACTCAGATACAGGTGAGGTTTACATTGTTTTTACAAGTCCATACTTTGCAAATAACTCTACAAATTGCTTTCTCAATGAGTAATACGGTTACCAAAAATAAGATTACATAAAGATACATATACTTTATGTCTACATATTTTTGTGTAAAAATAATAGACAGGAACTGTTTCGATTTTTATATCCTGCCTGTCTAATGAAGCCATTTGTCTGCCTTTAAAAAAAATTACAGGAGACATCTGCCAGTTAACTTTCCTTACTGGTACACATGCATGCTTTGGCCTTTTCATTCTTTTGGTATTTCTTTTTAAATGATTAAGCAGTTTCCATTTATTTTGCAATTTCAGGTTTGCTGGAGTAGCTTGTTACATCTTTAGCCAAGGAATAGAATGTTTAGATGTTGCAAATGTGCATCTGTGGTATAAATCAAACATAAACTTCCCCCTATGCTGAAAATTTGATCTCTATGCTGTTAATTAATATAAATGTTGTGGGAAAGATAATCCTCATGGCTTTTTAAAGAACTGTGTAAATATATAGCACCTTTATCTGCCAGAGCAATGATCTATTTGCTCTCCTTCTATAACTAATATTTGATATGATTTTAATTTGAAAATGGCATTTTATCATACTAGGCCTCATGGTGAATTAGCATTCATTAAGGTCTCTGGATCATCTAGGCCTCTTGCTAGCAATTTTACATATACTCTCCATTTAATCCCTCAGAAAAACACTGAGCAAAGCTTTCATTGTCATTTGAGAGCTGTAGCAGTTAAAGCTCAAAGAGATGAAGGAACTTGCTTATGATCACACAGTTTTAAGCAGAAAAGCTGGGTGCCCTGCCAGATTTAAAATTCTAGCTAGGAAGAATTATTTCAATTTTCTCATTTTTAAATGAAAACCAAGCAATATAAAACTTTATTCATCTTAAAAATATGTGACTAAAAGGGATGGAGAATTTCTGTGAGCTCTAGAGACAAGTAGACTAAGGTTTGAGGTCTACCTCTACCACTTTCTGACCCTGGGAAAATCACTTAACTTCCACAAACCTCCATCCATACAATGAAAATAGCAGTCATATCTGTCTAAAACCAAAATGAAGAATAATCAAATTAGCTTTTCCACAAAGTCCATTTATTTGTTTTTTAAAATCCTGTAATTATAAATTTTGGAATTAAAATGATCTTTCTTCTGTTAAAGACTAGTAGTATGTAGCCACAGGGATCCAGCGGGATGCACATGGTGCACAGGTATCAGCCCAGCTTACAGATTGAGACAGACTAGGAAGAAGGAAGAGGCTGTGGAGTTCTCAAATAATTGGCCAGGGAAAACCTTATGAATAGCAAAGAAACACTGTTTGATACGTTACCGCACAACTTTATGAATAGTCCCATTAGGTTAGAAGGCTCTCAAAATAGAACTGGGAAAAAGCTGCATCATCTGAGTAAACCCAGCCTTAGTCCTATGGATAAGGTAAAGCTTTTGAGACCTCCATTTGCTGATGTGGCACCATTCAAATTGAAGAGAAACAGCTGCAGACATCCATTAACTATCAGAACATGGAATGTACGCAGCATGAATCTAGGAAAATTGGAAGTTGTCATAAATGAAATGAAATGCATAAAGATTGATATCCTCAGCATTAGTGATCTGAAATGGACTGCTTTTGGCCATTTTAAATCAGACAACCATGTGATCTACTTTGCCGGGAATGACAGTTTGAAGAAGACTGGCGTGGCATTCATCATCACAAAGGATGTTTCAAGATCTGTCCGGAAGTACAATGCTGTCAGTGATAGGATAATATCCATACACCTACAAGGAAGACCCATTAATACAACTATTATTCAAATTTATGCACCAACCACCAAAGCCAAAGATGAGGAAATTTAAGATTTTTAT